GAAATTATAATATCCTGCAAGGGTATAATTAAAGGCGAACAAACATCCGTTTTCCAAGATCTAACATCACCATCTGCCGTATATTAAAAGCAGGAAAATGCATTATAATAAGCAGTGTTTGGGAGATGCGAAATTATAAGAGTTTGACCGAACAGTTAGTAAACTTCTAAATAACTTGCCTTTCTTTGCCAAACTTAAAAATATGCTTGGTAATATTTATGTTTTCAATGAAAACAATTTTTAAAAAATATTTCCTATTTAAGTTTTTATCTTTATTTTTATGTATGTATTTGCTCAAATAAAAACAATTTGAAAACTGAAAAAAAAAAATTTACATTTTTAAAAATTTTTTTAATTCAAAGTGTAACCGCCACAAAGCCGTGCGAGCTACAGTTAGTATATTTTTTGGAATGTATGAAATTGTGTCGGTATTTTGGTATATTTAACCCTAAGTAGATTTGGTTTATGTCGTTGCATTTTCGCAGACGCAGCTCGACGCAGCCGATGAAAGTTAATTCTGGTCCAGGAAAGATCCACGTAACTTATAGACATCGGTTAGTCGGTGGCTTTCATCGGCTTCAGAAGTTATAGACTACTTAATACAGAACAAGAAAACAAGAAAGGAAGCTAACTTCGGCACGCCGAAGTTTGTATACCCTTGCAGATTGGTTTCGATGTTTATATTATAGATTTAAATGCTGAAAACACTCACAAAACAGAGTTTCATTACATTTTACCTATACTTATTATGTTTATTCTCTACATTGACCGATCGTTTATATGGCAACTGTTAGATATAGTTGTCCGATTTTCATAAAATTTTTACCAAAATTCTGGAATAATATAAAATGGGCATATCCCAAAAAATGATGCAAAAATTTTCAAAAACAGCCAAGTTATAATTTTTTTTCTAAAAATTTATCGAACATTTGTATGGCAGCTATATGATATAGTCGTCCGATCCGGCCCGTTCCGACATATATAGCAGTGAGAGTATATAGAAGACTATATGCAAAGTTTCATTCAGATAGCTTTAAAACTGAGGGACTAGTTTGCGTAGAAACGGACAGACGGACGGACGGACAGACGGACATGGCTAGATCGACTCTGCTGTTGATGCTGATCAAAAATATATATAATATTACCTGAAAGTCGGCCAATTTACCTTTTTGGTATGATGCATAAATCAAAAGAAAATTCAACTTTGAATGCTCATATCATCTTCTACAAAAAAAAATCTTAAAATTGATTTTATTGCAGATTCTGAAACCTGTTCTGTCGAATAAGTAATAATAGAATAAGAATAAGGTTTAAATCGTTTTTTCGAACATGACTTTTTCGATTTTTGCAACGCTAATTGTTCGAGAGGCGCTACTGTGTTGCGTTTAAATTATCCGGTACTGACGTTGGTTTTTTTTATTTACATTTAATTTGTTATTAAAATTGGAAGTGAAAACCTCGTTTTTTGACAGACTTTTAAATTGAAACTATTCGGAAGAGCGCTTTAAACTTTATGGGGGTCATACATATGATTTCCGTTCCCATAACTTAGTTCATTTTGCTATGACCGATGTAAAACTTTGACATAATATTCTTAGGACGTTAAGCATTTATCATACAAAGGTAAAAAAATCTTAAGGGGTATATACAAGGTTAGTTCCAAAGTAAACAGGACTTGAAAAAAAAAGACAGAACAAATAGTTTATTTCGACGAAATCAATTTATTTTATTCAAAATAGTCTCCTTCTGCTTTAATACAGGGTTTTGCATGGTCCAAAAGCATGTCAAACGAGTGTTTTAGCTGGTTGCCCGGTATGACCGTCAGTATGCCTCTACGTCTGCATAACGCTTTCCTTTAATCGGGAAATGCATTTTTCCGAAAAGGTAGAAATCTCACGGTGTCATATCAGGTGAATACGGGGAGTGGTTGATGGTTAAAATGCGATTTTTGGTCAAAAAGTCGGACACAAGCGTCGATCGATGAGACGGCGCATTATCGTGCAACAAACGCCAACTTCCATCTTCGCGATATTCGGGCCGAACACATTGAATACGGCGCACCAAACGCTTAAATACTTTAAGGTAGAATACCGCATTAACGTTTTGGCCGGGTGGAACAAATTCTTTTTGGACAATACCCTTGGAATCATAAAAACAAATCATCATTGTCTTCACTTTTAACTTCTCCGTCGACCTCCAAATACATAGTACCACCCAAACCATACGCTGAAGACAGTAAAGCACGGTGGCCATAAAATCATGGTATGGGTATACTTTTCATACAACTTTGTAGGTCCCGTATATATGATCGGTGGGATCAAAGACCATTATTTTTATGTCCAAATATTAACAACTGTCTTGGAGCAGTGTCCTGAGAAAAATAATATGTGAGTAATGTTATTTTTTGCGACGAAATAAAGATGATGTTATACTACAAAATACTCCCGAAGTCCACTGTCTTCTCCTGGTGTTTCTGGGCAAACCAAAGTCGCTTTTCGATGTTTACTTTCGAGAGCAATAATTTTTGGGATGTGTACTCGGTCCGTTTTAGCAGCTTTCGGACGGTTTCGTGAGAAACATTTAGATTACTTGTGTCCTTCAGATCGCTTGCTATGGATCTGAGCGAAACATGAGGTATTTTGGCCAGTTCCCTTAGCAATTTTCGCTCATCTCTCTCTGGAATTTTGCTAGGCCGTCCTGTTCCAGGCTTGGGACCCAGTCGATTCTCCTTGTTTGGTCTATTTAGGATGTTGTATATTGTCTGCCGTAATACAGAGAACATTTCAGACAGTTCCTAGACGTCTTTTTCCCGATCTGGCGGTTATAATAAACCAGTTGTGCAACATCGTGCGAAGTTCTCTTTCCAGGCATTTTTTTAAATCTTGATAGAACTTGTCGCGCCGAAATTGATTGACAAATGATTAGGAACGCATAAGGCTAAGAGGAGAAAAAAACTGTTCGGATGCTGAATGTGCTTTGACGGTGTGTGGGAACACAAGTTTTACATTTGTGAAAAATCCCAAACGTTCCTCACAAATGTGCTGTGTGGGAAGACAGTATTAACGGTCAACATTTGTGCTATTTCGTGGCCTTTTCTTTGTCAAGCAATCGTCGTGAAACTTATGAGATAGTTAACAGTGGAATCAGAGATGATTAAAAATGTTTATATTATCAATATTTTATATAATTGCGGACCTATGTATGTAAAAGTCAGAAGACTATATGCAAAGTTTCATTCATATAATAGCTTTAAAACTGAGGGACTAATTTGCATAGAAACGGACAGACGGACAAACGGACGGACGGACAGACACACATGGCTAGATCGACTCGGCTGTTGGTGCTGATTAATATATATACTTTATAGGTTCCGAAATGTCTCTTTCACTGCGTTGCAAACTTCTGACTGAAATTATAATACCCCGCAAGGGTATAAAAATACAAAAAAAAAAAATCTTTTCTTGTACCGTATACCTCCGTTAAAATGGTGGTTTTGTTAGTGTTCATGCCAAATAGATGCAAATACTCTGAAAAACAGCGGTTATAATATTATTTCTTAAAATTCATTCCTATTGGTGCTGTTGCCTGATTCTGCACTTACGACATATGTATTATTAATTAATCAGAAGTCTTCAAAGTTTTATTCAGATAAAAACTGAGGTATTAGTTTGCAAATTGGTTAGATCGACAACTCTTTATGTTGATCAAGAATACATGTGTACTTTAATGGGCACTGCGTTGCAAACTTCTACCTAATCTTTTTACACCCTGAAAGGAGGGTATAGAAATAAAGGATGCAAAACCATTTGTATGAACAATCGAATGTTTAGTTCTTTTATCTAGAGATTAACCTTTAAGAAATCCTTGTATGATTCTATCACTGTATCATCGGCTACCTATGCTTTAGGGCTTTCAGAGTTTGTGTTTTTTCGTTTCATTCGCCCATTACAGGCTTAATTACTTTTACTCGCATTTTGACAATCTGAACGATGAGCTTATATTCCGATAAGTCAACTTTACTTAATTGGCTATTTTTATAGCAGGGCATTATAATTTCAGTCAGAAGTTTGCAACAAGGAAGGAGACGTTTCCGACCCTATAAAGTATATATATTCTCGATCAGCATCAATATCCGAGTCGATTTAGCCATGTCCGTCTGTCCGTCCGTCTGTCCGTTTCTGCGCAAACTAGTCCCTCAGTTTTAAAGTTATCTGAATGAAACTTTGCATATAGTCTTCTATATACTCTCACTGCTATATATGGGCTGGATCGGACGACTATATCATATAGCTGCCATACAAATGTTCGATAAATTTTTGGAAAAATTATAACTTGGCTGCTTTTCAAAATTATTCCATCATATTTGAGATATAGCCATTTTATTTTATTTAAGAATTTTCGTAAAAATTGTATGAAAATCGGACCACTATATCTTATAGCTGCCATAGGAACGATCCGGAAATTAATCGAAAAAATTATAACTTCGTTGTTTTTCAACGTATTTTAATCTTCTTGAGCTTCTGGTATTATTTCAAAATTTTGGTATAAATTTTATGAAAATCGGAAGACTAAATCTTATAGCTGCCATAGGAACGATAGGGAAAAATTATAACTTCGTTGTTTTTCAACGTATTTTCATCTACTCTTAGATATGAGCTTTACTTATTATTATAGAATTTTGGTATACATTTTATGAAAATCGGACAACTATATCATATAGCTGCCATATATGCGATTTGTAGATGTAGAGAAAATGTAAAGCAGGGAATGTAAGACTGTAACTGTCAAACTGTAAACATAAGTATAGTTAAAATTTTATGAAACTCTGTTTAGTGTCTGTTTTCGGCATTATAATTTATAATATAAATATGAAAACCAATCTGGAAGGGTATACAAACTTCGGCGGGCCGAAGTTAGCTTCCTTTCTTGTTAGCTGTAAAATATATTAAATATTGTACATATATCAATAAAACTATCGAAATAATATTTGTTTATTTCAGTTCCTGCGGAAGACATTTGGCGTGGAGTGACTGCAGTTAGTAACGCTGGAAAAAAAAGAGGTCGTGGCAAGGGAAGTGGAAAGAAAGTAGCTAAAGATCTAAATAGGGGACAAACTATTGGATTCGGAAAAAAGAGTTGCCTATGGCCAGGATTAAATTCTCCAGTTTTTCGTGGAAATGAGCTCATCCATCAACAAAAAACGGTTGAGGGCACTGATAGAGAATACGGAATTAATAAACTGCGTGATTCGATGGGAAATTTCAGGTTGATGAAACTAAATCCCATAGATCGTGGATGGTCGGGCAGCAAAATGCCTGGAAGAAGTATTGGACCACCTGACACTGTTAGCGAAGAAGAATTTACTTCTTTTGATACCCGAGTATTGGAGAACAAAATTGTTTTTATTATGAAAGGAAATATGGGAAGAAAACGAAGGTATTCTGTCTTGTCGGTCACAGGAAATGGAAACGGTTTAGCAGGATTTGCTACAGTGAAGGCGCCAGAAGTGAGAACTGCTCTTCGGATGTCAAAAAATCGAGCAGCCCAGAAACTTATTAATATAAGCCTTTGCGAAAATAGAACTATATACCATGACTTTTTTACAGCTTTTGGAAAAACCAAAATCTATTGTTTTCAAAAACCTGATGGATACGGATTAATTTGCCATCGGGCTATAAAAACCATATGTAAAGTTATAGGTATAAAGGACTTGCACGCTAAGATTGAAGGATCAACCAACTTACAGCATATTGTTAAAGCATTTTTTATAGGTCTTATGCGTCAAAAGTCGTTTCAAAACATTGCTACAGAGACAGATTTAAACATTGTTCAACAACAAAAGTCGAAAATCGGATATACAGAGGTAAAGGGAATTCCACTTTCTAAACCAGCGCCATTTTCTAATATTCAAGTAATAGACTATATGCACTATACATTGGGCAATAAAATCGTGTTAAAAAAAAAGGAAGTCTCTCCATTTTATATTTACACAAAGGGGCATGAATTAAAACAAATTAAAAATGAACGATTTCGAAACCAAATAAATGTTAGACTAAATAAGCTAGTTAAATTGTATGTATAAAGAATTATAATTAATAAATTTAACATTTAATTTCCATATATGTTATTAGCAAAGTAATTAATATTCCTGATTCCCGCTGTATTTGCAAACTGTGAAGGTAATACAATATTTAAGCTGGGAGTTTTTTAAGGTAAGTCCCGTTTAAAAAGTCTAGCAATATAATTATCAACAACACACATTGGCTCCACGGGGGAATTAAAGCACTGTGCAAAGAAACCGTCCAATTTTCAACTACTCCGCAAGTCTTCGCCAAAGGGTGAAGGAGCTGTATACCACCAGGCATATTATCTTAAAAATACCAGTCCACCATGGAGTTCCAAGCACTGGCTGTGGTTTAAGCCCAGGAGGAGGGCTTGAGGCGCACCCGCGGCAGCACCGCACGAAGTGCGAACGCTGCGTTCAGTCGAGAATGTGTGGAGAGTGGCGTGTGGGGTGCCTAAGCATACAACCTAAACTTATATGTAAGTCTTGGACTTGAACTGTGCATACTTTCTTTGGCGATTTAAAAGGTAGAATATTGTGCAGCAAAGCAAATTGGGAAATTACTTAGTATCCGACAGCGATATGTTTATATTAAACCAGATACATACATAATACAGCATTATTCTCTATCGTTCTACTTTGGGACCGGGTTGTAATCTCTTGCAGCAGCCACCCCTGAACCAATTAAATTTCGGAGAGGAGCAACGACAGATGGACACAAACTATATGTGTTATTTTGCTCGAATTGTTATAATGCGAATCGGTGTGACCAAGCGAAACAATAACAAAGGTCACAAATTGCATCATATAATTATGCATTTCTAGAGTCCTCGTCCAAGTGCTCTTTTGTATATGTGCATCAAGTTAGCAGGGTAACTTTGGATTTTCAAAATTTTGATTCTACCATAATTTGCCGTTAATTATTCGTGAAAAAAATTTGCCGTTCAATTTTTTATCCTTATTATACCCTTGCAGGGTATTATAATTTCAGTCAGAAGTTTGTAACGCAGTGAAGGAGACCTTTCCGACCCTATAAAGTATATATATTCTTGATCAGCATCAACAGCCGAGTCGATCTAGCCATGTCCGTCTGTCCGTTTCTACGCAAACTAGTCCCTCAGTTTTAAAGTTATCTGAATGAAACTTTGTATATAGTCTTCTATATACTCCCACTGCTATATATGTCGGAACGGGCCGGATCGGACGACTATATCATATAGCTGCCATACAAATGTTCGATACATTTTTAGAAAAAAAAAATATAACTTGGCTGTTTTTCAAGATTATTCCATAATTTGAGATATAGCCATTTTATATTATTCCAGAATTTTGTTAAAAATTTTATGAAAATCGGACCACTATATCTTATAACTGCCATAGGGAAAGTAATAGAAAAAATTATAGCTTCGTTGTTTTTCAACGTATTTTAATCTACTCTGGTACATGAGCTTCTGGTATTATTTCAGAGTTTTGGTATAAATTTTATGAAAATCGGACAACTATATCATATAGTTGCCATAGAAGCTGCCATAGAAGCATAGAAGAAAATGTAAAGCTGGGAATGTATAACTGTAACTGTAAACATAATAAATATAGGTAAAATGTTATGAATCTCTGTTTAGTGTCTGTTTTCGGCATTATAATTTATGATATAAACAAGAAAACCAATCTGCAAGGGTATACAAACTTCGGCGTGCCGAAGTTAGCTTCCTTTCTTGTTTTTTTTTATGTCCTCCCAACTTGATATCAAGTTAGCAGCAAACTTGAACACAAACTTGAACACTTCCAAATTTTTTTTCTCATAATTTGCCGTTAATTATTCGTGAAAGAATTTGTTGCTCAAGTTTTATTTTTTTTTTTAACATATAGTTATAGAATAATTAACGGATAATTAACTGCTAACTTGATGCACATCTCTTGTATGTATGTTAAAGTCTTTAAATTTATTTTTTACCTTTTTAATGCAAACAAATTTTATAATTAACACACAACAAATTCATTTAAGTTGCTTTTGCAGCTCAAAAGTAATTTAGTTTCAGAAAATAATTGAAATCTTGTGAGACGATTTTGACAACTCGGCGTCTAATGATACAGTTATTATGTAAGAATTTGTTCATTAGAGCAGTATATTTGTTCATGCTCTAAATGTTCACATGCCTTTTTGTAAGTCACTTAGGTAAAACCAAAGACAATAGAGTCTATAATATAAGTAACGCCATACGATTTTTTTGCACACGACTTTTTCGTGCTGGCTTTTGAACTGGCTCCAGGCTCTCTTAAATTTTGTTCAAAAGCCAGCGAAGAAAGCGCTCTAGAGCCAACCGTTCTCTTGTAAGCATTCAGCGACGCCGCCGGGTGTTTGTGTGCAAACGGGCCTCAAGAAGGCCAATTTCGCTATTAAATTTATTTTTTATTTTTACATCTCTTTAATTTTATATACTTATTGATTTATAAATGAATTTTGTATAATGTATGAATCATAATAATATATTATTAATTTATTGGTCAATTGAATTAGATAATTGTAAATACATACATATGTAACTATGTATGTATGTATTTAAATCAATTATTAGTATTATTTTGCATATTTATTTAATAATAAAATTATATAATATACATACATACAGATGAAAATATAATTTACCTAACTGATTTTCTGGATTGAACTTGTATACAAATACAATCCATATTCCAGATCAACTGTTTTTGCTGCCGCTACTATCGCACAGCAGCGCCTTTTCTCATTTAGCGTTGCAAAAATCATATATTTTGAACCAAATAAGATAACCTAATAATTTAAAGTTTACATTTTAAACGGACAGATAATTGTTGAAAAATATATATACATATGTACAAAATCGCCTTTTTACGGGGTATCAAAGTCAAAATATTTTTTTTTAATGAAAACATTTTTTAAATTGAGTAGGGTAAGGTGGGGTAAAGCCGACCTAGTAAATGGTTTTGGCTATAAAATGCTTATTTTACATCGGATCAAGTCGTTATATATACCAAATTAAAGGTTCGACTTTTGCGCAACTTTCTATGCATAGCATTTTATTCATACCTTTGAAAATTTTTGAGATACAAGCGTTTTACGAAAAAGTTCACTTTTGCTATGTTCAAAAATGATGGGGTAAACCCGACCGCCTATGTTTTTGGTTGATTTAGTACAGATATAACCTAAATATAGGTTTTGCAATGATAAATCAATCAATGTTATGTTATATAATGGTAATAAAAGACAATAGAATTAAAAAAATGAAAATAGCAAAATAATTAATCAGTATCATCTGATTCGCTGCTCAAATAGCTTGCTGGCGTTTTTTGGTTCGAGTTGAACGTCTGGTTGGCTGCGATGTTGATGGTTTTGGTGTGATTGTTGTTTTTTTTTACTTTTTTTGCGGCAGGATTTACCCCACTATTTGGAGGTCGGATTTGCCCCACCACGTAATTTTTCATAAAAACGCAATTAAAAAAGAAATTATGAAAAAAAATGAACCAAACTTATATGCACTTTGTAGGACTTTATTCAAAGAATCTAAATCCACGTACCTTTTCATGCGATAACTTTGACAAAAAGAAATATCCTGCAGTTAATTATGCACAAAAATTAAAGTCAAAATTGTGAAAACAAACTTGTTGTCGTTTGACCATCTCAATGTTGACTAATAAAATGGTGTCATACCACCATTTTCATTGTTTTCGATGCTCTACACGACAACACTAATATTAGTTTGCGTAGTGCTTCCGATTTTCGAAAACAGAGGGAGGTCGGGTTTACCCACACTGTCGGCTTTACCCCACCTTACCCTAAATATTATTGAGTAAATACAAAATATCGACACAATTTCATACATTCCAAAAAATATACTACCTGTAGCGCTCACGGTTTTCGAATTAAAAAAAATTTTTAATTGACTTTATTACAGATTCTCAATCCTTGAGAAATGTTCTGTTGAATAAGTATGCTTAAAATCGTTTTTGCGAACATGACTTTTTCGATTTTTGCAGCGCGAATTGTTCGAGAGGCGCTACTGTGCGTCGCTTCCTAACAAGCGGTCGCCAGCACAAAATATAAAAATTCAATTTTTTGTGCTTGCGCTTGCGCACACATATTCTCGCACACCAGAGAGCTGCAACGATCAAAATTTTTTCGATTATACCCGATCATTGACTCGGATTTTTTGTTACGGAACTGCATATTCCCTGGGCAATGCCGGACTAGCTCAGTGGATGCCCAGGGGGGGTAGGAACCTATGCCCGCAGTCCGCACAACTAAACACCGATTAATCGGACGTCTCACGCAAAACTCCTCACTAACAAATAACACATCTCTAACAAAAAAAAGGTAAACAAACCAAAATTGACGACATTTACGGAATGGTGGCATAGATGGAGTCGCCACGACGCTCCCGCCCAACCTGTGGTGCCTCCGGTGTGTCTAGGGGCACCACCCATCTCCGGCGGACCGGAGTCTAATCCAGGCGGCTCGACGGCCGGCCCATCTCCCCACGTAAATACTTTTTACTCAAAGTTCATCGTGTTTAATACTTTATAAATTCAAGGTATTTAAGGCTAACATTGGCAGAGTACATATTTGTAACCCAGGTAACACCTCACTTGCTCCCGGCGAGAGCGTGGCCTCAGCCAGGGATGCGCTCGCGCCAAGGCTGCCAAGCAAATGTTTCCGGATATCGCGGAGGAGAAGCGGCGCTCCGCCAACACACAACAGGCCACAACCTGGCCAAAAGAATTTGGTACTTCCAACCTGATATCCCTACTGGAGCTCCAAGAGAAATAAAAGGGGAGAGGGTTCTACTTCGATTTTGGTCCAGCTTCTTCACCCCGAATCGGCCCTATTGCAGCCTTGTGTTGCACAAATCCCGGACCCAGGGACTACGACAACGCAGAGGACAAATTACGGCGATACGTGAGTTTAAAAAAAAAAAATACATCAAACACTAATTAATTAATTATATCTTAGCAACTAGAAGGCACTATTGGCGACCCGCAAATGGCTTCGGTGGCCTGAGTGGCCAGAAATCGTGACGACGGCTAGCCCGAGGAAAGTAGGGCCAGTAGGACGCAGCCACGGCCACGTCGTTTCGGAGAAGAGGCAGAGCCAATGGATGTCCCCAAATATGGGTACGAAAAAACCTGCCGGTTCCGGACGGCGCTTAACGGAACGGACTCACCGGATTCCCGTTTGGCTCGATAGCTGGCTCCGTCAACGGCTGCTGAGAGGCTCGTTTGAAAATTTCCCTCACTCCTCTCCAGAATATATCCTCCCCAGAACGTCGGCGGCGGGTAAGATTCTCCGTATAATTTCACCAATTTTCAATAAAAATCGCCGTGGCCAGCGATTGATTCACTGCCACGCTGAAATTCAACGTTTATTTAATACCACGCTTTTGAATCTTTTCACTTTCACCCACGTTCTTCAGGTAATTCCTAGCCGCCCAGGAGATTAGCTGCTTTAACTTCGACTTTCCGTTGCTACTGCCGGCTTCCATGTTGACTATCCCTCCCTATATAGGCTTCGCCTGTCACCCGAGTTCGCACCTAGGAACCGTTCTTTTTTCGGTGCAACGCCCGAGGCCAAGGGTAAAAACCCTTTCTCTTAATTCCCCAACCTAATCCCGTTTCCTATTCCCGGTTCGCTCTTTTGAATCCCTGCCCCCCCCTGGTCCTAATGATCCTACCTCTATCGATCTATCGATAGTCCTCCAGCCCATTCCGATTGAAAATGCAACATTTTTGTAACGCAAAACTTTGCATCAACAAAATTGAATGATCATTAGCGAGCGCGATCGAAGCGAACATTCAGTTCCGATCACTCTTGACTTGGTTCGGAATAGGGATGTCGGAAATATATCAAAATATCGATATTTTTTCTCTTAAAAAAATATTATCATCGCGATATTTTTTGGGCAAAAATAGGCGATAATGATATTTTTTTGAGATGATATTTCCGATATTTTTATATTTGGTCACTCTTAAGCCAAACATGAAAAAAGAGACGCGTGTGATTATGAGTGCGGCAAAAGAATTTTATTCTGAATTCAATGGAATTACAGCGAAATGCACATTATGCTTAAAGATAATTAAAAGTAGTGGGAATTCTACCAACTTACTTTCCCACCTGAAAAACAAGCACCAAGATACTTTTTTAAAATGCTCAAAATGCAATGTGCTGGGATTTACATATATATGTACATAAATTTCTGTGTGTGTGCGTTCTTTTCCGCGAAATTTACCGGTGTATGTCGTTTTACACATGTATGTATGCAAGTTTGTGCGTGTTTTCCAGAATTTTTAAAATCAAAATGCGCAGGCATATGGACATACATACATACAGCGTGTGCGTTCTTTTCCGCGAAATTTACCGGTGTATGTCGTTTTACACATGTATGTATGCAAGTTTGTGCGTGTTTTCCAGAATTTTTAAAATCAAAATGCGTAGGCATATGGACATACATACATACATACATACAGCGTGTGCGTTCTTTTCCGCGAAATTTACCGGTGTATGTCGATTTACACATGTATGTATGCAAGTTTGTGCGTGTTTTCCAGATCTTTTAAAATCAAAATGCGCAGGCATATAGACATGTCTATACACGCACAAACTTGCATACATACATGTGTAAACAGACATATAATGTAAATTTTCGCGGGAAAGAATGCACACACACAGAAACTTATGTACATCCTTATATAGCTTATACATACATTAGTGACAACTTAATTTTTGTTATGACAGACCAGCATGTAACCGAACGAGTTTTTCTTAAATCATTAAAAACTGATTTTTGTTAAATAAAACCACTTATTGGTCTATACCATATCCTTCAAAATGTTGTTATTATTTTTCTATACCAAGGATCGTAAATAAGAGTTGCTTGAGAGCGGGTATAATATTTGCATTTTAAGTTCGACGATTTTTATTCACAATTTAAATTCAAAACAGTCTATTATGTCTCAAATGGCCCTTATTAATGATTAATGAAATCAAATATAACGATTTTTAGGCTCAAAATCTACCCAAATTTTCAGAAACAGGAAATCTTTATCCAAGTTTTGCTAAAAATTAAAAAATATCAAAAAAAATCAATATATCGATATTTTTTTATGATATTTTCAAATATCATCGAGTGATATTTTTTTAACAGCAAATATCATCAATACGATATTTTTTTAAAAAACAACAACTGTTGCATTTTCAATCGGAATGGGCTGGAGGGCTATCGATATATCGATAGAGGTAGGGTCGGTAGGAACAGGGGGAGGCAGGGATTGGTGAGCGAACCGGGAATATCAAAAGTAAGAGAAAGGGTTTTTACCCTTTGCACTAGGCCGTTGCACTGAGCGCCCCAAGATTACGGTAAGCCGAAAATGGGGACTCGGACAACGGAGCCTATATAGGGAGACAGGAGACTGGAAGAGGGAAAGATTAGCGGGACGTCAGCCGGCGCGTTAGCATCTTAGAGAAAAAGTGAAATCAAAAATTTAAAAAAGAAAAAAAACGTGAGTGAAGTGGCGCGAAGGAAAATAACCAGTGATCGTTAAAAGAAATATATGGTTTTTTTTCTTACAGCGTGGCCGTGACGAAAAACACGGGCCACGGGGTTTTTTTCTGTGTTGTTCTCTTGATGTTGGTGCATTCGCCGTCTCCGAGCCGTTCGGTGGATTTTTATCTGGGCGAGCCCCGCATTTCCCGAGACACCTGTGAGACATCCGGTCCCAGCACTCTTGTGCACAGCAGCGGCCGCCGGCACGAGCCACCATCAGGCCAAACCGGGAGCAACCAACAAACCGACGGAAACTGGAGGACAGCGGTGAGTCCGTTCCGATCAAAATCGGCCGGCCCTAACCTAGGTGGTCGGCTAATGTTCATGCCGCTTGTAGGGCCTACATTTTTTGCTGCTAGTCCTGGCCGAATTCCGCTAGTCGCCAATCCTGGGCTTCGTCTGCCCCATTCTGGCCATCGTCCTCAGTCGCCGGAAAAATATATGAAAAATAAAATAATAATATATAAGTTATTCGTTCTAAGTTAAATGTTTTTGCTGTATTCTGTAACTCACTTGTCGCCGTACCTTTTTCTCCGCGTATTCGTGCCTTGTGTCCGGGATTTGTGCAACACAAGTGCTGCGGATTGAAATTTCTTAGGGTGAAAAGAAGAAGGAATTTTCGAGTGACCCACCCTTGTGGTTTCTTTTGGAGCTCCAGTAGGGACCCGAGGTAGGAAAGGGGTACTTAAAGTAATTTGTTGGCCGGTGTGTCGTTGGCCATTTCTCCTTGGCCACTTCTTTTGATCCTTTGGCGGCAGCCTTGGCGCGAGCGCATCTCTGGCTAGGGTCGCGACCACGGTGAGGGATTGGGAGGCACGAACTCTGCCATGTATAAGTTAACCTGAAACGACATAACATATTAAAAAAAGCGCAATGAACACCGAGTAAGCGTTATTACCTGGGGGAGATGAGACGGTCGCCAGACCGCCTGGAATAGACTCCGGTCCGCCGGAGAATGGGTGATGCCCCGAGATGACCAGGAGGCATCACTGGATGGGAGGGTGCGTCGTGGCGTCTACACCTAAGCCACCAATTCGTCCAATTTGTCGTCCGAGTCGTTGTTTACATTTTTTAACGTAGTGATGTGAGTTTTGTCAGCGATAGGTGTTAGTCGAGACGTCCGATATTTTTTTCGGTATTCGATTGTGCGGACTGCGGGCATCGGGTCGAACCCGCCCTGGGCCACTCTGAGCTAGCCCGGCATCGCCCTGGCAAGAAGCAGTTCCGTAACAATATGGCGCCCAAACATAAAAACAAATATGGATAGCGAGAAGACGACGTCTCGTCAGGCCACGTCCTGGACCATCCAGCCCCCACGAACGGTGGCTTGCGAGGCCTATTTTACGGTCTGCAAATGCACCGAGGACCTGGGGACTGGTGGTCAAGGCGTAGGGCCGGGTTTAGGAAATTTCTTTGTGGTTTTCTTGGTCAGGACGGGAGGCTTGTGCCGCAGAAAAGCGGACAATTGCTCCCAGTCACAGCTCGCAGCTGTTTTGCTGTGCAGAGGTGGTGGCATCCGGGCGTAAGACGCCGGATCTGCATCCCTTGGGCACAGACCCGTGCAAGAAGCACGTGATACAATAAAAGCTGTGATATAGTAGATAGGGTACATGTTATTTATTTATAAAGGTATTGATGTATTAACGTAGAGTCCTTGGTTTTCATGTTAACGTAATTTCTTGTGCAGATCCTTGGGTTTTCCTGGTGAGGGCGGCTTGTGGGATTGCCTTGGAGGTGGTATCGTGACCCGTAGTATTTACTGCGCGCTGCACGACCACCACAAGGTGAACCGCAAGTCGCGTTCGCTAAGGAAAATCCTACGGGATGCTGCGAAGGCCGATGTCCTTAACTGGCGACTTTCAGCTCAGCTGAAAGTTAGTCCAGTTGACGAGCGGCCGGAGTAGGGACGACTTGGGCAGTTGTAAGACGCAGGAAATCTGGCACGGAGTCCACCGGCGGTTGATCGGCTCCATCTCCCCCTGAAATTTAGAAAGAAGGAAACATCAGTGAACTGAGTACATATTATATATGGAAATTTAAATATTAATTGTGGTAGTTGATTATTTATTGAATTATTTGTTTATTTTCTGTTATTTATGTAGTTATTTTTTTTTTTTGGTTATTTATTTATTTATTTGTTTTTTTGGTTATTTATTTATTTATTTATCTTGTTTTATTTATTTATTTATATCATTATTATCGTTATTAATTATTTATTTATTTATTGCACAATTATTTATTTAGTTTTACCATATATATTTATTTATTCGGTGTTAGGTGTTTATGAATCGGTTTTTTTTGGGGTTTGATATTTAGATATTTGTGTAAGTGTCGTCATAAATTTGTTAGGTGTTTAGGAATAATAAATGGCAGAGGAAAACGCAAACACGTATCAGCTTAGGTCGAAGGGTCCTTCAGCCCAGGAAGAGGAAGTGTGGTCCATGGACGCGGAAGGTGCTGTGGGGTACGCGCCGCCGCGGATTTCAGTGGGGTTGTCGAGGACGCCACCGCGACGACGGGCAGCAGAACAGCCAGAGGAGCCGAACCAGGGGAAGTTGGTGGAGTTCGAGGCGATCGGGGCAGCAGCTGACCAGCTGTTGCAGATGGATTCTGCTCCGAAGGCGGTGCATTTTCAGAATCCACCAGTGGACTCGACGATCCAGTCGGCAGTAAACCTCGCACTGGCACAGGCAGCGGAGACATACCGCAAGTCCCAAGAGGCGGGAATATGTCAAGGGTTGCGAGAAGAGCTGCGGGCGGGCTTCCTGGAAATGATGCAGTTAATGAATCAGGTGCTGAGGCCGGCAGTTACTCACCCACAGGAGCCGCTGAGGACACCAGCCCAGCAGCAACAGGAACCGTTTCCAGAAGCACCACGACAGCAACCGTTCCCAGAAGCACGACCACAGCAGCCGTTTCCGAGGGGACGACCGACGGAGGGACCCCAGGGCGCTCGTGGAGCCATACCGCGGAGCCAACAAACGGCCAGTGGGCAAGCGGCAAGGACACCGCCACGTGTGCCACCGAAGCCGCCAAGGAGGGCGCCTGACCCATTGGAGTTGACCAGCAGCAGCCCAGGATGGTCCACTGAGGCGGAAGATAGGCCGCGGGATGACGGCGGAGGCAGGAGCTGGCGCGTGGAGGATCGCCGAGCCGGAGAGTTCCGGGACGAGCGGGCGTACGCCAACTGGGACGCGGGAGGCAGTTCCCATTACGCCCGAGTGGACCGGTGGAACATCACGTTCAGCGGCGAGGACGAGAGGAACCACGTCGAAGGTTTCGTGTTTCGTCTGGAGTACCTCCAACGCCAGACTCGTTGCCCTCGTTGCCCAGCAGAAATCCGGTCCAACGTCTTCGTCTACTTGGACGACCATCTTGGCACCGGACATCGAGACGCACTTCCGGTACCTACGACGAGTCGCCGAATGCCTGAGGGAAGCAGGATTGACGATTGGACTTAGCAAGTCTAAATTCTGTTTCAAGTCGTTGACTTACCTAGGCTTCATTGTAGGTGGAGGTCGTCTGCGGATGGATCCAGGAAGGGTGGCTGCGATCCGTAGGATGCCAGAGCCGAGGACGATGAAGGAGGTGCGAGCATTTTTGGGCACGGCTGGATGGTATCGGCGCTTCGTCAGGAACTTCGCAACGCTGGCAGCACCGCTCACCGAGGCGCTCAAGAAAACCGGGAACACTAAGTTTTCTCTGAGTCCGGAGGCGCAGCTGGCGGTCGAAGCCCTGAAGATGGCTCTAACGACGGCGCCGGTACTAGTCCACGCCGACTTCAAGCGGCACTTTTTCATCCAGTGCGACGCTTCCCACATCGGGGTTGGAGCGGTTCTATTCCAGAAGGACGAGGACAACCAGGAGCAGCCGATAGCATTTTTTTCGGCAAAGATGAACAAGCACCAGGTGAATTACACCGTCACCGAGAAAGAGTGCCTGGCAGCGCTCCTGGCGATCCGGAAGTTCCGTCCTTATGTGGAAGGGATGCCGTTCACCTGCATCACTGATCATGCCAGCTTAAAGTGGTTGATGTCCATGAAGGATCTCTCAGGACGCCTGGCCAGGTGGTCTCTGCAGCTCCAGGGATTCAACTTCAACATCGAGCACCGGAAGGGCAGCGAGAACGTGGTGGCAGACACGCTTTCGCGATGCGTGGAGGAGATCGCCGTCGATCCGACAGAGTTGCTGGGTTTCGAGACCACCGAGTTTGCTGGGGATGAGTACCAGGAGTTAGTCCGTGAAGTGGAGGAGAATGCGGATAACTTACCGGATCTTAGGATCGAGGACGGTCTCATCTTCAAGCGAGTCTCCCCGGCAACGCTGGATGACGAAGTGGAAGGATCCGCGTGGAAACTCTGGATACCGCAGAGTCTGACCCACAGCCTAGTTGAGAGAGCCCACACGGACCCCAAGGCAGCTCACGGCGGAATGGGGAAGACGCTGGAGATCCTGCGGAGGCAGTTCTACTGGCCTGGGATGGTGTTGCAGATCCGCGAGTTCGTCCGAAGATGTGAGATTTGCAAGGAGTCGAAGGCCCCGAACCACCGGATGATGGTGGGGATCGGAGAGCGGGTACAGACGGAGCGGCCGTTCCAGAAGCTGTACGTCGACTTCCTTGGCAAATATCCGAGGTCGAAGAAGGGACACGCCTGGATCTTCATCGTAGTGGACCACTTCTCCAAATATACATTCCTCAAGGCGATGAGAGACGCAACCGCTTCGAACGTAGTAGATTTCCTCATTACGGAGGTCTTCTACAAGTTTGGAGTGCCGGAGGTGGTGCACTCTGATAACGGTCGGCAGTTCACCTCGAAGATCTTCGAGGAGGCTATGGAGAGCTTCGGGATCCGGCATCTGAAGACCCCGATTTACTCCCCACAGAGCAACGCAGCGGAACGGGTCAACCGGAGTGTCCTGGCAGCGATCCGAGGGATCCTGGAGAGTGACCATCGGGAGTGGGATGCATACCTTCCGGAGATTGAGGTGGCCATCAGGAATGCAGTCCATGCAGCGACAAGCGAGGCGCCGTTTTTCACAGTGTTCGGGCATCACATGTTCCTGCATGGGTCCAGCTACAGACTGGCAAGGAAGCTGCAGTCGATGTGTGACCATGAAATGGCCGAAATGCCGACGGCTGACAAGCTCCGGGTGGTACAGGAGAAGGTGCGCAAGAGTCTGGAGACCGCATATGACCACAGTCGCCAGCGATACGACCAGAGGGCCAGAGTCTTCACCGCGAAGCCGGGGCAAGAAGTCTATCGCCGGAACTTTGTCCTCAGCGACTTTGGGAAGCAATTTAATGCAAAGTTCGCCAAAAAGTTCTTGAAGGCCAGAGTGGTGAAGGCCGTAGGCAACAATGCGTACGAGCTGGAGGATCTGCAGGGCCGAAGTTTGGGCATCTATCACGCCAAGGACATCCGCAGCTGACCTGGAAGGGAACAAGAACACAAAGTATACAAGGACGGAAAGGAGCCTAAAGACATCTTATACTTCCCGTAAAGCGTGGGCCCCGCGTTGGGCACCGTACGGAACTGCGATCAAGATCCTGATCCAAATGCTCCCAATGATCTTGTCGAGCCGCCGGAATCCAGTAGCATCTCTCCAAATCCTTGGGTGGTGTTGCATTTTCAATCGGAATGGGCTGGAGGGCTATCGATATATCGATAGAGGTAGGGTCGGTAGGAACAGGGGGAGGCAGGGATTGGTGAGCGAACCGGGAATATCAAAAGTAAGAGAAAGGGTTTTTACCCTTTGCACTAGGCCGTTGCACTGAGCGCCCCAAGATTACGGTAAGCCGAAAATGGGGACTCGGACAACGGAGCCTATATAGGGAGGCAGGAGACTGGAAGAGGGAAAGATTAGCGGGACGTCAGCCGGCGCGTTAGCATCTTAGAGAAAAAATGAAATCAAAAATTTAAAAAGAAAAAAAAACGTGAGTGAAGTGGCGCGAAGGAAAATAACCAGTGATCGTTAAAAGAAATATATGGTTTTTTTCTTACAGCGTGGCCGTGACGAAAAACACGGGCCACGGGGTTTTTTTCTGTGTTGTTCTCTTGATGTTGGTGCATTCGCCGTCTCCGAGCCGTTCGGTGGATTTTTTATCTGGGCGAGCCCCGCATTTCCCGAGACACCTGTGAGACATCCGGTCCCAGCACTCTTGTGCACAGCAGCGGCCGCCGGCACGAGCCACCATCAGGCCAAACCGGGAGCAACCAACAAACCGACGGAAACTGGAGGACAGCGGTGAGTCCGTTCCGATCAAAATCGGCCGGCCCTAACCTAGGTGGTCGGCTAATGTTCATGCCGCTTGTAGGGCCTACATTTTTTGCTGCTAGTCCTGGCCGAATTCCGCTAGTCGCCAATCCTGGGCTTCGTCTGCCCCATTCTGGCCATCGTCCTCAGTCGCCGGAAAAATATATGAAAAATAAAATAATAATATATAAGTTATTCGTTCTAAGTTAAATGTTTTTGCTGTATTCTGTAACTCACTTGTCGCCGTACCTTTTTCTCCGCGTATTCGTGCCTTGTGTCCGGGATTTGTGCAACACAAGTGCTGCGGATTGAAATTTCTTAGGGTGAAAAGAAGAAGGAATTTTCGAGTGACCCACCCTTGTGGTTTCTTTTGAAACTCCAGTAGGGACCCGAGGTAGGAAAGGGGTACTTAAAGTAATTTGTTGGCCGGTGTGTCGTTGGCCATTTCTCCTTGGCCACTTCTTTTGATCCTTTGGCGGCAGCCTTGGCGCGAGCGCATCTCTGGCTAGGGTCGCGACCACGGTGAGGGATTGGGAGGCACGTACTCTGCCATGTATAAGTTAACCTGAAACCGAGTCTTTGTTTACATTTTTTAACGTAGTGATGTGAGTTTTGTCAGCGATAGGTGTTAGTCGAGACGTCCGATATTTTTTTCGGTATTCGATTGTGCGGACTGCGGGCATCGGGTCGAACCCGCCCTGGGCCACTCTGAGCTAGCCCGGCATCGCCCTGGCAAGAAGCAGTTCCGTAACACAACCCTAATTATAAGTGTAAAAAATTAAGAAATAAATGAAGTTATCTGTTTTATTTAATTCTTTGCGTCGCAACTAGTTTCTTTTAAAACACTTTATACGGTCTTCCCACACAGCGCATTTGTGAGGAACGTTTGGGATTTTTCACAAATGTGAAACTCGTGTTCCCACACAGCATTAAAGCGCATTTAGCATCCGAGCAGCTGATCGATCAGCTGTGAGCTCATGAAAACGTAAACAAAGGCTGTCGAATTGGCAGTTGCAAATTTGAAATGGAGCATTTACCAACTATTTTGGCTATTTTGGCAGAATTTATCCGCAATAAATTTAAATGAATTAAATGACAAGGAATTTTAGTTTTTCTAATGATTTTTCTCTAACAAAGAGCAAATTCCCCGAAGAGTGTCTATAGGTGGTATAGGCATCCAAAATCTTTAAAATAAGGTAGAGATAGGCGGTTTATATTAAATAGTAACAATTGGGGACATATTGGGGCAAGAATATACAGAAAAAACGCCAACAACTATTTGGGCATGCTTGTAGCTTTGGCGCCACGTTTTAAATTCCATATCTCATTTGTTCCTCGCCAAGTTTGTTTACATATTCGTGGTGAATGGTCAAATTTTCAGAGTTGCACCGAAGAACTATCGCCTAACTATCGCCAAACAAACCGTGGTTAGATTTTAACGCTGAACTAACGCCGGGCCATTTGGGAAAATTCGGAACGGCAAAACCTTATGGAGCATTTGTTCAACGGATGCTAAATGCGCTTTAACGCTGTGTGGGAAGACCCTATAAATATTAAAAAAAAATCACACATTTCGCAAGACGATTTTCGATCTGATTGCTTCATTCACAATCAAATCATGCGCAACATGAGTGACGCCTGAGCTCTTTTGAAACGTTGGACTCGATCGTTCTTTTTCTGCACAATCAGTTCCGATAATCACACCGGTACCAAAAAATCAGTTTGAATCAGGAAGCAGAGCAATCAAGCCAACTGAACGAGATCGTTCGTTTTGTTCGCGAAGATCGATCGAGCATGTTATGGCGATCTTCTGCGATGAGTTGTGATCGGCTTGAGCGTTGTTGATCGATCCGGATCGATCATACTCAATGCAGCTCTCTGTCGCACACATACGCGCTTGCGAATTCTTGTGTTTATTCATACAAGCAAAGGCATTCTATTTTTAGATTTTTACGCTCTCAACTTTGTGAGATTTTCGATTGTCGATGCCATCAAAAATGAAGCCTCATATTGCAAAACGAATGTATGATCGTGAGGCATCTTGTTAACTCTATTGTCTTTGGTAAAAACTTATGGTGCTATCTCATCTTTAATGGAACCTCTAATTAATACGGCAGTGTTATTAGCATAAACAGGCGCTGTAAAAGAATAGGCATCAATAGGGTTTCGAAATTTTATCTATGATTCGTAGTTTTAACGATAAAAATAATCGGTTTAATGTTAATGGCAACCTCCTATAAAGTACGCTAGTTAAAAATTAATCTGATGGTTGAAGAAGACAAGTTTCCACAGACTCGCGTTTTGGAAAAGGAGCAAATCAATTTTTTTTTTTTCTTTATTATTTTATAGTCTTTGTTTTTATTTATTGAATCTTCTCCTTTACAAGACTAACAATAAGTGTATCAAATCTTCCAATAATACCTAACTAGCAGTCATGTTGTCTGGTACATAGTAAATGGCCCTGACTAATTATAGCTGGGTTGGGATGTAGTTACGTAGTAGACGGCTTCTGCTGAAAACCCGAATCAATTCCCTTTCTAGAGGATTTGGAAGGTCAGAGAGTTCTCCCTTGCTGTACGTTTTTTGTTTTTCTATTTTGTGAATGCCAAGATCCCTGTGGATGTTTTGGTTGAGAATATACCATAGTTCCCCAGTGATAGTTCTCAGGATTTTTGATTGGGCGCGCTGTACGATGTCTAGATTGGAGCTGCACGCGTTTTCCCCATGCTGGGAACCATACGTTCATATGGGCTTTAGGGTGGCGTTGTAGACCAGGACCTTGTAGTCCAGACACAGGGCCGATCGGGCGTTATGAGGCAGTGGAGGCTGTCGAGGTACGTTACCACCTTGACTTCGGGGATCTGAGTGCTGTTCAAGTCGAGCGGAGGGCATGGCTGTCTGATGAGAGTAAATGTTATGTGCTTACACTTTTGTTAATTTATTTTAATACGCCAGAATACCTAAAGGTGGTTAGCGAGCTGGGTTGACTGTGCATCTGGAGCGGCTGAGGATCGCAGTGTCGTCGGCGAAAGTGGATGTTAGCTGTTCGCTTGTTGGATCCGCTGTCCTCTAGTGCCCTTCCTTGTGGGACTCCAGGTTTGATTGAGTAGGTGTCAGATGTTTTTGCGTTGTACTTCATTGCGAAGACTGTTTTAGAGACACGACTCAAGTAATTTAGGCTGTACACCGGCAAAATTGCTTTAATTTTATGAATAAGGCCGTTGAACCAGACGTGATTGAATGCTTGAGATACTTCGAGAAATATCGCACTGCAATATTCTCGATGTTCAAAGGCTGTGCGAATTTCTGATGCTATTCTGTTAACTTGCTCGTTAGTCCATGTTTTTTTATGAACCCCAATTGATTTGTTGGGTGAATGTTGTATGTTGACATGTTGACAATTTTTTTATAACTGACTGCTGCCAACTTTTTCCCAGCAAAAAAAAGCTGTTTTTGACGGGAAAATTTCAGAAAAAAACGAATCGAAAAATCCAATATGTATAAAAAAAAGGAATATATGTCAAGTAAATAACAAATTATAATTATAATAATTATTAAGGTAATTTTTGCTTAAAATATTTCCATAATTTTATCAATATCTTCTTGGTCGTCCTCATTTGCGTATGACATATTAGTACCTATCATGCGCAGATATTTTACAGGCACTTCATAGTCGACGCATAATTTTCCAATCCTTCGCAATCCGTATCTGTATATTAAAATAGAAAATGAATACAGTATATCTTTTGCTGGTAAATAAAACTTTACCTTATGCTTAGAATTCTGTTAGTTGAGCTGAGGCCTATCGAATTTCTTAATTTGGATTTAACTAGGTTAACCTGGCTAAAAAAGCTTTCTATTTCCACGTTTGACCAGGGCAAACATAATATTTGGATGCCACAGTTGCCAACTCAAAAAATCTTCGGTTTCCACCAGAATCTTCAAATTGGAGCACCTCAAACCAAAATTTGTTTGTGTTGCTGATGTTTTCCCACTTGATCAAATTGCCGTTATTGTATTGGCGTTCAATTTCTGCATTATTTATAAATTCCAAGAACTCTAGAATTTCTGTGATGCTGACACTTTTTCATATTTTGTACTTAAGAGTTAACAACACACAACACAAAAAAGTCGGGAAAAAGCCAACTTAATTTATAAAAAAGACAGAATTCAGGCTTTTCACAATTCCCGCAATTAACAAAATTTTCCCGTAGTTAGTCTTTAAAAAAAGCCTGTTTTGACGGGAAAAAATCCAAATTGGCAGCACTGATGATAATAAATGACGGAATCGTGTGGCCTTTTCTGGGCTTCGCTAATGTTATGATAATAGATTTTTAATGTTTTCTGAGGTTGTGGCGGAGACTTATGATCCTATTGAAGGTGTTGGGACGCCCCTGGGTCCCGGGTTTCACCATGTACAACAAGCCTCTGGTTGCAGTATGTATACTGATAGCGGTGAAATCTTTTTTAATCTTGTTACAAATAAAGAAATTTGACATTTTTTTTCTCATCTTACACTTGTGGTTTGCCGCTCTTCAATTCACAAAGTGAAGTTTACATATATAGCGGTCTCATTCTCGCAAAAATAAAAAATGTGTTTTCAATACAAATTGGTGTTGGTCAGTATAGTTTCAGTGTTAACAAATGCAAATGCCTCCCTTTCCAAATTGGGCATCTAGCGCAGGGAAGCGAACATCGCAACAGAAGGGTTTACTGATGACCTCAATACACCGAAGTTCAATTATCATTTTTTGAGTTATTAGGTCATCGCCGGGAGTTTTTATTGACTTCAGTCTGTCCAAAGTACCAATCTGGTAACTCCATCTGAGGATCGTTTTGGCCAGCATATTATTCTCAACTGGCCACACTTTGTTTTTCAGTCTTGCGCGGCGTGGTTTCAAGAGCAGTCGATCTTGCGTGCCATTCTTTTGTTCTCCATTAAATATATAATAAACTTATGTATATGTATTAATCCGAAACGGCTAAAGTCTACTTATTTAATCCGGATACTCATGCACCTGCGTTGGGGGAAAATCCCAACAGGTTATGGGCCCAGGACGCGTAGTATCAAACGCGGAAAATCAAATAAGTGCGAAAGTGGAGAAACGAGAGACGCCGTGAAAAATGGCGGGTACATACATGCGCATCGAACCGCTAAACGCGGTGTGCAAATGTGTGCTATACCTGTGAAGAATGATTTATGGCCATATGTGAACGGTACTAAAAAGTGTCCCAGTGATGAAGCTGCTCTCGCAGAGTGGACCATTAAAGACAAGAAAGCTCGAGCAGATATACTTTTGGCGATAAGTACATCTGAGCTAGGTTTAATCGAGGATTGCACCACATCCAGAGATTATTGGTTGAAATTGCAAACCACATTTCAATCAAAAAGGCCAGTGCGAAAGGACACTTGTTAAAGCGTGTAGTATTGTCGCGAATGAGTGAGGGGAACGACGCCCGCCTTCACATCAACGGTTTCTTCGATGCGGTGAAGAAATTAAAAGAGATCGGAGTGACAATTGGAGATGATTTGCTCGCGATTCTCTTGCTATACAGCTTGCCCGACTCATACGAAACATTTAGGTGTGCGATCGAGACACGTGACGACTTGCCAAGTCCAGACGTGCTCCGTTTTAAAATATTGGAGGAATCGGAGGCAAGAAAATCGAAAAGCGACCGCGAAGAACAAAGTGCTTTGTACGCGAAACAGCTAAAGAAGGCAAGCATTAAAAGTAGAGCAGAAAATGCTTCGTGTGCAACAAGGTAGGGCATATAGCTCGAAACTGTCGAGTGAAGCCGAAAGAGAACTACAACAGTGCGAAGAACGAGGAACGCGAAACCAACGGAAATCGGTACAAAAAGGAGATGACAATGAACGTGAATGAACATGCATTCATAGCCGAAGGGCGAAATGATATGTGGTGTCTGGACAGCGGTTGTTCGGCGCATATGAGTTCCAATAAGAATTTGTTCGGTGAAATAAAAAGCATTGAAAAAACATTGCATTTGGCCGACAGCAACACAACGAAGGTTAATGGTGTTGGTGACGTGAAGATAGACATTAAAGGAAAGCGGAATGAGAAGATCACCCTTAAAGAAGTGCTATTTGTGTCGGATCTTTGCCAGAATTTGCTTTCTGTTTCAAAAATAACGGAAAAAGGTTACGAAGTGCGTTTTCGTAAGGAAGAAGCGATAATTATGAAAAATAATAATGAAGTTTGGCTTCGAGCAAAGAAGTACGGAAATTTGTATTATTTGAATACCGAAAAGAATGAAGCAAACAAAGTGAACGAAGAACAAAGCGAAATAGAAACATGGCATCGTCGAATGGGCCATCTAAATGAAAAAGACTTAAAGAGAATGGCGTTGTGTGGAAAAGTTCACGGAATGAAGCTAAAAGAAAATGACAAACTACCGCAGTGTGAAATTTGCATCAGCGAAAAGCAAACGGCAAATACGTATAAAAATGCTACGGAAAAGAGATCGCAGAAAACTCTAGAAATTGTGCACAGTGACGTGTGTGGACCGATGCGTACACATTCAAAAAGCGGATGCAAGTACTTCGTTACATTTATCGATGACTATTCGCGATATAGCTCGGTATATTTCTTAAAGCAAAAGTCGGTCGTATTAAATCGTTCAAAGCCTTAGCAGAAAATGTAACAGGTAACAAAATTAAACAATTACAGAGCGATAATGGAACCGAATTCCTGAATAAGAAATCCGACGAATTCCTGCGGCAAAGCGGAATTGGCAGACGTCTGTCAGCGCCACATACTCCTCAACAAAACGGCGTGGCAGAGCGGCAGAACCGCACTTTGGTAGAAATGGCCAGGTGCATGATGAAGCAAGTGGGGGCTCCTCCGTCATTTTGGGCAGAAGCTATTAGCACGGCTTCCTATCTCCGTAACCGGTGCCCAACGAAGGCTCTATTTGGGGAGCTACCCTACACCTATTGGACAGGTAAAGTTCCCACGGTAATGTATTTACTTACATTTGGAACAAAGGCGTATGCATTAATAAAAGGCACGAATAAGGGAAAGTTTGAGTCACGACCTGAGGAATGCATACTGGTAGGATACGCTGCAGAATCGAAAGCGTATCGCCTTTATTCTCCTCAGAGAAGATCCATCGTGGTGAGCAATGATGCAAAGTTTATGAATACATCAGGGTTTAAGAGTAAATATGAAGAATTTTACGAGAACGAAGCTGAGGGAGAATTGTCTATTCAAATGACAAATAATTTACCGGACGAACAAGTAGAAGTTTCTAGCAGCAGCAATGTAGAAGAAGAGACTCCTGTTGTGGAGAGACGGGGCAGAGGACGCCCAAAATTGCTGAGAACCGGACAGCGTGGGAGGCCACGTAAACTGTATCAGCAGAGACAGGAAGATGAAACTCTCAACAATGATCCCGCAGAAAATGGCACATCGATTGATGACGAATTTGAGGATTGCGAATTGGCATTCTTAGCAGTAACAGGGGATCCTTTGACACTGGAAGAAGCGTTCAAATCCAAAGAGGCAGCTCATTGGAAGCGCGCAGTGGAAGACGAGTTTATGGCCCAAGTCCTCAACAAACAGATAACAGAACGCCCAAACAATCGGAAAATGATTGAAAACAAGATGGTTTTCCAAACCAAGGACGACGCACAGTAGCGCCTCTCGAACAAAAGCCGTTGCAAAAATCGAAAAAGTCATAATCGCAAAATCGATTTAAACCATAAGAAATCAACAGAGAATTTCCCAAGGATTCCGAATCTGTAACCAAAAAATCAGATTTTTTTGAGGAAGATATAAGCATTCAAAGTCGAAATTGTTTTCCGTGTATGCGTCATACAACAAAAAATAGGTAAATTAGTCGACTTTCAGGTAATATTACACAAAAACTACATAACCAATGGTCTTGATTTTTTTTTAAAGTGACAGGTATATCCATTACCTCTTGTTCAAATTTAAAAAAACGGTAGTTTTGTGTGGGCTTGTACATTTTTCTCACCTTTTTCTGGCTAAAGTAGTCTATAACTTCTGAAGCTGCCCAGAGCCGGCGACTACACTATGACTACGCACTGCGTGTACCTTTCCTGAATCAGAATCCGTTTAGAAAGTCTGCGTCCAGCTGCGACTCTGGCGTTGCGAAGCAAAACACTGAAACAACTCAGGGTAAAATATACCAAAATACCGACACAATTTCATACAAACCAACAAAAAATACTAACTGTAGCGCTCACGGTTCTGTGGCGGTTAAACTTGGCACAAAAAAAATTTTTGTTTCAGTTTTCAAATTATTTTTAGTTAAGCAAACACATTAAAATAAAGATAAAAAATTAAATAAAAAATATTTTTAAAAAATTGTCTTCATTGAGAAAAAAATATTTCTTCACTTTGATAACCTTTAAAAAGGCGAATGAGTGGGCGTGGCAGATTTTCCAATACATATGTTAATTTTACAACAATTACCTGTCAAATGGCGTTTAAATTATTTAGTTATCTTGTTTTGTTCAAAAGTTATGATTTTTGCAACGTCAAATGAGAAAAGGCGCTACTGTGCGACGGCAGCATTTTGGGAAGAACGAAAGCCCGTTTAGTTGCCAAGGGATATGCGCAGAAACCTGGAGAAGATTTCTTTGAGTCCTACTCACCTGTAGCGCGATGTACATCAGTGCGACTATTGGTTGCTCTATCAGCAGAATTTCAGATGGAAATTCACCAAATGGACGTCGTCACTGCCTACCTCAACGGTGAGCTAGAGGAGCAGGTATTCATGGATATACCTGAGGGTTTCAGCGAGTTCATGGAGCAGCTGGAATCAGACGCGAAAATCGGATCAAAGCAGTAATTAGCATCGGCAGATTTTAGAAAGGCAGCATGTTTTTGGAGAAAATCCTTAAAACAAATGAGAGATCCTGTTTGTTTACTACGAAAGGCACTCTACGGACTTCGTCAATCAGGACTTCGTTGGTATTGCAAGCTTACAGAGAAGCTTAAGGAAATCGGACTTAACCCAACTGAGCAAGATCCATGCCTGTTTGTCAAGCAAGGAGACGGAAAGTTTTTACTTGTCACCATATATGTTGATGATTTGCTTTTGGCATCAAATTATCCTAATTGGCTGCTTGAAACCAAAGCTCACTTGGGAGCATCATTCAAGATGAAGGATTTTGGACCAGTCAAAACGTGCTTGGGCATCGAGTTCAAACAGAATGCGAGGCAGCAGACAGTCTTCATGAGCCAAGAAAAGTACATCGACGCTATCCTTCGAAAATACGGCATGGAAGACTGCAAGCCGGCTATCACCCCGATCGAGTCCAAATCAGCACTGAAGCGACCAGAGAACCCAGACGAGGAGGAGATGAAACGGTATCCTTATCAAAGCTTAATTGGTTCTCTTATGTTTCTTGCAGTTTCTACGCGACCAGATATCGCGTTCGCAGTTCCTGAGTCAGTTCAACTCCAACTACTCAGCCGAGCACTGGAAGGCGTCGAAGCGTATCCTACGGTACTTAAAGGGTACGAAGATGCTTGGGTTACTCTTCAAGAAGACTGGAGATGACCTTTACGGCCTCGTGGATGCGGATTGGGGGTCCAACCTATCCGACCGTCGCTCTTATTCAGGGCAAGCGTTCATACTGGCAGGCGCTTCCATATCCTGGGAGGCGCGTAAGCAGCGTATCGTGGCTTTGTCGAGTACTGAGTCAGAGTACTTGGCGATGTCGGAAGCCGTTAAGGAGGCGCTGTATTTGAAGGCTCTCCTTAACCGGATCGGATCGACCTGTGATTCTGTCCGAATTTTCAACGACAACCAGAGCGCACAACAACTGGTGAAGAGGTTCGGCTTCCATCCTCGGACTAAGCACATTGATGTCCGACACCACTTCATACAAGAGAAGGAGAAGAGTGGTGATATCACGGTGGCGTACATGCCGACTGAGAAGATGCCCGCTGATGTCCTCACCAAAGGATTATGCAGTAGCAAGCATAATAATTGTATTCTTTCTTTGGGCATAACTAATTTATAGTATAGGATTGCTACTTTGAGGGGTGTGTTCGAATTAAGCGCCTCATCCAAAGTACCAATCTGGTAACTCCATCTGAGGACTGTTTTGGCCAGCATATTATTCTCAACTGGCCACACTTTGTTTTTCAGTCTTGCGCGGCGTGGTTTCAAGAGCAGTCGATCTTGCGTGCCATTCTTTTGTTCTCCATTAAATATATAATAAACTTATGTATATGTATTAATCCGAAACGGCTAAAGTCTACTTATTTAATCCGGATACTCATGCACCTGCGTTGGGGGAAAATCCCAACAAGCCCTCCATAAGGGATGCTTGGTGCTGGTTTGCGAGACGTCTCTTTTCTTGAATAAGCTGTTCAATTTGCTGGTTAGTTTTGAATTTGTTTTTTTTTGCTGCTGTCACAAGTACCTCTTCCAGAACGAAGGTGGAGCAGTCGATGTCCGCTTCAGTATTGAGCAGTATTCGGATAGCTCAATGTGGGAACTCACATACTTCTTGTATTTCATCCAGTCAGTTCTGTGCGGCATCAGCCTGTAGGGGACATCCGTAGTTTCTGGGTTTCGAAGAAGAGTTATCAAAAATGGTGAGTGGTCTGATGAAAGATCCGGAAGGTCCTTGGTGCTTAGTAAATTTCGTGGGATATTTTTTGTCACCGCGAAATCAATTAGATCTGGTATATTGCTGAGGTCTGCTAGCCAATATGTGGGGCTACCAGGCGAAACGTAGTCCAGTTTATTTCTCAAATTGATAAGAGCCTTATATAGTTGCCTTCCCTTGGGAGTAACGAGTCCAGCCGTGGGCTTTACCATTCTGATGATCTGTGCGTCCTTACACATGGATATACGTAGATCGGACATTGATTATTTCGACTGTTGTGCTTCAACCATATTCTGGTTTTCAAAATTGTTTTGTGGCTGCCTAAGGGCCTGATGAGTGTTTATTAAGTTTGAGAGAGGTGAATTTTCCATACCTGTTCGTAGAGCTTAGGCGTAGGGATGCCCTTGAAGGTATTTAATATAGAGAACTGAGGGAGGTCCCTTGCTGCTTTTTAGTTGGTTCATTAGGTTTTTTATGTTGGCAGATTAGGCATATTAATTAACAATTATCAATATTTAATACAAATAAATAGATATACTTGAGCATACAGTATATACACAATGTAGACGCAGAATATTTATTTATGTAGCTAAAAAAATAGTCAGAGCTTGCAAATAACTGTCGACGGGGTTTTTCCTGTGCTCTCGTTGCGAGCAATACCGAAAAAGATCATACTCTCTCGCTCTCGCTCAGAGCAAGGGAGTTTTGCTGTCTTCATTTCGGTTTTTTGTTGAACGCTTTTCGTTGAGCTCTTTTTACTTCGGCCTTTCAATGAGCCGTGCGTAAAGAGCGGGACGAGAAACGTTCGCACACAGAGAGCCAGCAAAAGACCAAGTGAGCGAACAGCTCAGCGCGAACGGTCTGGTTGTTTTGGTTGAGAATATACCATAGTTCCCCAGTGATAGTTCTCAGGATTTTTTATTGGGCGCGCTGTACGATGTCTAGATTGGAGCTGCACGCGTTTTCCCCATGCTGGGAGCCATACGTTCATATGGGCTTTAGGGTGGCGTTGTAGACCAGGACCTTGTAGTCCAGACACAGGGCCAATCGGGCGTTATGAGGCAGTGGAGGCTGTCGAGGTACGTTACCACCTTGACTTCGGGGATCTGAGTGCTGTTCAAGTCGAGCGGAGGGCATGGCTGTCTGATGAGAGTAAATGTTATGTGCTTACACTTTTGTTAATTTATTTTAATACGCCAGAATACCTAAAGGTGGTTAGCGAGCTGGGTTGACTGTGCATCTGGAGCGGCTGAGGATCGCAGTGTCGTCGGCGAAAGTGGATGTTAGCTGTTCGCTTGTTGGATCCGCTGTCCTCTAGTGCCCTTCCTTGTGGGACTCCAGGTTTGATTGAGTAGGTGTCAGATGTTTTTGCGTTGCACTTCATTGCGAAGACTGTTTTAGAGACACGACTAAAGTAATTTAGGCTGTACACCGGCAAAATTGCTTTAATTTTATGAATAAGGCCGTTGAACCAGACGTGATTGAATGCTTGAGATACTTCGAGAAATATCGCACTGCAATATTCTCGATGTTCAAAGGCTGTGCGAATTTCTGATGCTATTCTGTTAACTTGCTCGTTAGTCCATGTTTTTTTATGAACCCCAATTGATTTGTTGGGTGAATGTTGTATGTTGACATGTTGACAATTTTTTTATAACTGACTGCTGCCAACTTTTTCCCAGCAAAAAAAGCTGTTTTTGACGGGAAAATTTCAGAAAAAAACGAATCGAAAAATCCAATATGTATAAAAAAAAAGGAATATATGTCAAGTAAATAACAAATTATAATTATAATAATTATTAAGGTAATTTTTGCTTAAAATATTTCCATAATTTTATCAATATCTTCTTGGTCGTCCTCATTTGCGTATGACATATTAGTACCTATCATGCGCAGATATTTTACAGGCACTTCATAGTCGACGCATAATTTTCCAATCCTTCGCAATCCGTATCTGTATATTAAAATAGAAAATGAATACAGTATATCTTTTGCTGGTAAATAAAACTTTACCTTATGCTTAGAATTCTGTTAGTTGAGCTGAGGCCTATCGAATTTCTTAATTTGGATTTAATTAGGTTAACCTGGCTAAAAAAGCTTTCTATTTCCACGTTTGACCAGGGCAAACATAATATTTGGATGCCACAGTTGCCAACTCAAAAAATCTTCGGTTTCCACCAGAATCTTCAAATTGGAGCACCTCAAACCAAAATTTGTTTGTGTTGCTGATGTTTTCCCACTTGATCAAATTGCCGTTATTGTATTGGCGTTCAATTTCTGCATTATTTATAAATTCCAAGAACTCTAGAATTTCTGTGATGCTGACACTTTTTCATATTTTGTACTTAAGAGTTAACAACACACAACACAAAAAAGTCGGGAAAAAGCCAACTTAATTTATAAAAAAGACAGAATTCAGGCTTTTCACAATTCCCGCAATTAACAAAATTTTCCCGTAGTTAGTCTTTAAAAAAAGCCTGTTTTGACGGGAAAAAATCCAAATTGGCAGCACTGATGATAATAAATGACGGAATCGTGTGGCCTTTTCTGGGCTTCGCTAATGTTATGATAATAGATTTTTAATGTTTTCTGAGGTTGTGGCGGAGACTTATGATCCTATTGAAGGTGTTGGGACGCCCCTGGGTCCCGGGTTTCACCATGTACAACAAGCCTCTGGTTGCAGTATGTATACTGATAGCGGTGAAATCTTTTTTAATCTTGTTACAAATAAAGAAATTTGACATTTTTTTCTCATCTTACACTTGTGGTTTGCCGCTCTTCAATTCACAAAGTGAAGTTTACATATATAGCGGTCTCATTCTCGCAAAAAAAAATGTGTTTTTCAATACAAATTGGTGTTGGTCAGTATAGTTTCAGTGTTAACAAATGCAAATGCCGCCCTTTCCAAATTGGGCATCTAGCGCAGGGAAGCGAACATCGCAACAGAAGGGTTTACTGATGACCTCAATACACCGAAGTTCAATTATCATTTTTTGAGTTATTAGGTCATCGCCGGGAGTTTTTATTGACTTCAGTCTGTCCAAAGTACCAATCTGGTAACTCCATCTGAGGATCGTTTTGGCCAGCATATTATTCTCAACTGGCCACACTTTGTTTTTCAGTCTTGCGCGGCGTGGTTTCAAGAGCAGTCGATCTTGCGTGCCATTCTTTTGTTCTCCATTAAATATATAATAAACTTATGTATATGTATTAATCCGAAACGGCTAAAGTCTACTTATTTAATCCGGATACTCATGCACCTGCGTTGGGGGGAAAATCCCATCAGGTTATGGGCCCAGGACGCGTAGTATCAAACGCGGAAAATCAAATAAGTGCGAAAGTGGAGAAACGAGAGACGCCGTGAAAAATGGCGGGTACATACATGCGCATCGAACCGCTAAACGCGGTGTGCAAATGTGTGCTATACCTGTGAAGAATGATTTATGGCCATATGTGAACGGTACTAAAAAGTGTCCCAGTGATGAAGCTGCTCTCGCAGAGTGGACCATTAAAGACAAGAAAGCTCGAGCAGATATACTTTTGGCGATAAGTACATCTGAGCTAGGTTTAATCGAGGATTGCACCACATCCAGAGATTATTGGTTGAAATTGCAAACCACATTTCAATCAAAAAGGCCAGTGCGAAAGGACACTTGTTAAAGCGTGTAGTATTGTCGCGAATGAGTGAGGGGAACGACGCCCGCCTTCACATCAACGGTTTCTTCGATGCGGTGAAGAAATTAAAAGAGATCGGAGTGACAATTGGAGATGATTTGCTCGCGATTCTCTTGCTATACAGCTTGCCCGACTCATACGAAACATTTAGGTGTGCGATCGAGACACGTGACGACTTGCCAAGTCCAGACGTGCTCCGTTTTAAAATATTGGAGGAATCGGAGGCAAGAAAATCGAAAAGCGACCGCGAAGAACAAAGTGCTTTGTACGCGAAACAGCTAAAGAAGGCAAGCATTAAAAGTAGAGCAGAAAATGCTTCGTGTGCAACAAGGTAGGGCATATAGCTCGAAACTGTCGAGTGAAGCCGAAAGAGAACTACAACAGTGCGAAGAACGACGAACGCGAAACCAACGGAAATCGGTACAAAAAGGAGATGACAATGAACGTGAATGAACATGCATTCATAGCCGAAGGGCGAAATGATATGTGGTGTCTGGACAGCGGTTGTTCGGCGCATATGAGTTTCAATAAGAATTTGTTCGGTGAAATAAAAAGCATTGAAAAAACATTGCATTTGGCCGACAGCAACACAACGAAGGTTAATGGTGTTGGTGACGTGAAGATAGACATTAAAGGAAAGGGGAATGAGAAGATCACCCTTAAAGAAGTGCTATTTGTGTCGGATCTTTGCCAGAATTTGCTTTCTGTTTCAAAAATAACGGAAAAAGGTTACGAAGTGCGTTTTCGTAAGGAAGAAGCGATAATTATGAAAAATAATAATGAAGTTTGGCTTCGAGCAAAGAAGTACGGAAATTTGTATTATTTGAATACCGAAAAGAATGAAGCAAACAAAGTGAACGAAGAACAAAGCGAAATAGAAACATGGCATCGTCGAATGGGCCATCTAAATGAAAAAGACTTAAAGAGAATGGCGTTGTGTGGAAAAGTTCACGGAATGAAGCTAAAAGAAAATGACAAACTACCGCAGTGTGAAATTTGCATCAGCGAAAAGCAAACGGCAAATACGTATAAAAATGCTACGGAAAAGAGATCGCAGAAAACTCTAGAAATTGTGCACAGTGACGTGTGTGGACCGATGCGTACACATTCAAAAAGCGGATGCAAGTACTTCGTTACATTTATCGATGACTATTCGCGATATAGCTCGGTATATTTCTTAAAGCAAAAGTCGGTCGTATTAAATCGTTCAAAGCCTTAGCAGAAAATGTAACAGGTAACAAAATTAAACAATTACAGAGCGATAATGGAACCGAATTCCTGAATAAGAAATCCGACGAATTCCTGCGGCAAAGCGGAATTGGCAGACGTCTGTCAGCGCCACATACTCCTCAACAAAACGGCGTGGCAGAGCGGCAGAACCGCACTTTGGTAGAAATGGCCAGGTGCATGATGAAGCAAGTGGGGGCTCCTCCGTCATTTTGGGCAGAAGCTATTAGCACGGCTTCCTATCTCCGTAACCGGTGCCCAACGAAGGCTCTATTTGGGGAGCTACCCTACACCTATTGGACAGGTAAAGTTCCCACGGTAATGTATTTACTTACATTTGGAACAAAGGCGTATGCATTAATAAAAGGCACGAATAAGGGAAAGTTTGAGTCACGACCTGAGGAATGCATACTGGTAGGATACGCTGCAGAATCGAAAGCGTATCGCCTTTATTCTCCTCAGAGAAGATCCATCGTGGTGAGCAATGATGCAAAGTTTATGAATACATCAGGGTTTAAGAGTAAATATGAAGAATTTTACGAGAACGAAGCTGAGGGAGAATTGTCTATTCAAATGACAAATAATTTACCGGACGAACAAGTAGAAGTTTCTAGCAGCAGCAATGTAGAAGAAGAGACTCCTGTTGTGGAGAGACGGGGCAGAGGACGCCCAAAATTGCTGAGAACCGGACAGCGTGGGAGGCCACGTAAACTGTATCAGCAGAGACAGGAAGATGAAACTCTCAACAATGATCCCGCAGAAAATGACACATCGATTGATGACGAATTTGAGGATTGCGAATTGGCATTCTTAGCAGTAACAGGGGATCCTTTGACACTGGAAGAAGCGTTCAAATCCAAAGAGGCAGCTCATTGGAAGCGCGCAGTGGAAGACGAGTTTATGGCCCAAGTCCTCAACAAACAGATAACAGAACGCCCAAACAATCGGAAAATGATTGGAAACAAGATGGTTTTCCAAACCAAGGACGACGCACAGTAGCGCCTCTCGAACAAAAGCCGTTGCAAAAATCGAAAAAGTCATAATCGCAAAATCGATTTAAACCATAAGAAATCAACAGAGAATTTCCCAAGGATTCCGAATCTGTAACCAAAAAATCAGATTTTTTTGAGGAAGATATAAGCATTCAAAGTCGAAATTGTTTTCCGTGTATGCGTCATACAACAAAAAATAGGTAAATTAGTCGACTTTCAGGTAATATTACACAAAAACTACATAACCAATGGTCTTGATTTTTTTTTAAAGTGACAGGTATATCCATTACCTCTTGTTCAAATTTAAAAAAAACGGTAGTTTTGTGTGGGCTTGTACATTTTTCTCACCTTTTTCTGGCTAAAGTAGTCTATAACTTCTGAAGCTGCCCAGAGCCGGCGACTACACTATGACTACGCACTGCGTGTACCTTTCCTGAATCAGAATCCGTTTAGAAAGTCTGCGTCCAGCTGCGACTCTGGCATTGCGAAGCAAAACACTGAAACAACTCAGGGTAAAATATACCAAAATACCGACACAATTTCATACAAACCAACAAAAAATACTAACTGTAGCGCTCACGGTTCTGTGGCGGTTAAACTTGGCACAAAAAAAAATTTTTGTTTCAGTTTTCAAATTATTTTTAGTTAAGCAAACACATTAAAATAAAGATAAAAAATTAAATAAAAAATATTTTTAAAAAATTGTCTTCATTGAGAAAAAAATATTTCTTCACTTTGATAA